GAGATGGGAAGGGAGGAAGCCAGGTAGAAACTGCAGGGGCCACCCTCTGGGGCCATCACCAGTGCGGGCCACTTGGGGCAGCCCCAGGGCCTGTCTCCCCACGAGGGATTTTTGCTGATCATTTTTTAGTGCCTTTTTAGCAGCCTTGGAAGGTGGCTGGAAATAAAGGGACCAGCCCTTCATGGGTGATGACTTGATAGCCACTTGTCAGGGCACTGAAACCTTTTTTCCTTCTTGGGCGGTGGTGCGGGTGTAGACGGAGCAGATGTGTTCAGTGCTGAGCACTGCCGGGGCAGGGGGCCCCTGCCTGTTGGGTGGGGCGCTGTCCAGGGAGACCAGCCTTACTCCATGTCTTCTCCCTGGCCCTCTCCTTGGAAACTGTGCTACGCCCCACCCCCTACTGTGGTCCCACCCCAGGTGGGGTGTCTGCTGACCCTCTTAAGGTCTGCTAATCACGTGGAAATTGAGGTGACCCAGGGCAATCAGGGATGCTGATTAAAGATACACTGTTTCCTGTAAACTTTCTACATGTTACTACCTCAGTGCTCGTGGAATCTGGGCCATGATCCTCTAAGTAGTTCTACACCTGACTCTGAAACTACTGTTGTCTTTGCCTGTGTGAACAGCAGCGGACTTGAGTTGCTGGCTCCGAATTGAATGCTCTGTAAGTGACATGCACAGCACCTGTGCTTGTGACAAAGAAGAGAGAGGTGTGTGTTGGACTCCCTGTGACCCCTTCCAACCCCTAAAGTTTCCCTGGGAGGGAAGGTCACGTTTCAGTTGCCAAGTGTGAAGCGTAAACGCAGGGCCGTGAGGTTCTGCACCCTCTCAGACACGCTGGTGTTTCCAAGAACAAATTGAGTGATTCTGTGCTAGGACTTAACCTTGGGACGGAAGGCTGTACGATCCGCTCGCAGGATGCTTGGACGGCAGCAACCGCAGGGACCATCCGGACGCGCCTGCTCCCCGAGGCGGATTTTAAAAAGCATTGTCATGGTGAGAAGGTGTTCCTTCTTTAGTGCTTCTCTTAATTTATGTGATCACTGTTTGTCTTCTGTTTTGTATCTTTTTTAAATTGTAAAATTCAAGTGTGAAAAATTGTACAAATAAATTATACATTCTTTTTCCAAACGTGTTGAGGCTCTGGAGATCTGTGTGGCCACCGCGAGCCAATCTGCGTTTTTGTAGGGCCGGGATGTTGGAGCAGCTGCTGCGTGGTGGGGTGGGTCTGAGGCTGGGGAGGAGGGGCTGGGTCTGAGGCGGCGGGCGGGGGGTGGGGGTGGGGGTGGGGAATCACTTGTACCTCCCACTTCTCCCAGATTCAGACCCCGAGACCCAACTCTCTTCTAGAACTCTCTGCCCAGTGTCCCAAGAGTTTTCAGAACCTGCCTCCTCAAACATGAGGCTAGCGTCTCTTCCCCTAAAGCTGTCTTCCTAAAATCCCCACGAGCTCACGGTGGCAGAGCTGCTTCCTTAACTAACAAGCATCTCTGTCCCTGGAGTTGTGGCCACAGGTGGGAAACGGAGCTTGGGTAAATGTTTTCCTGCCTGGAACAAAAATCCATTCTCATTCTTCAAATTCCCCAAATCCAGCAGGTCCCAACAGGTAACAGGTGATTGGAGAAAACAACTGGCCGTTGTCTTCATCATGTCAATTTGCATTAAAATTATGGAAAAACTTGTAATTGAAAAAGAAAAGAAAGCACATGTTTTTGTTAGATAACGTTCAAAAATACAGTTGAGGGCTTCCCTGGTGGCGCAGTGGTTGAGAGTCCGCCTGCCGATGCAGGGGACAAGGGTTCGTGCCCCGGTCTGGGAGGATCCCACATGCCGCGGAGCAGCTGGGCCCGTGAGCCATGGCCGCTGAGCCTGCGCATCCGGAGCCTGTGCTCCGCAACGGGAGAGGCCACAGCAGTGAGAGGCCCGCGTCCCGCAAAAAAAAAAAAAAAAAAAAAGATACAGTTGATTCTTGTTACTCGTGGCAATTATGTTGTACAAAGTCATCGCGAACCTTGAATTAGTGAATATTGAATCATGGCTCCTAAGGGACAAATAGGGGCAGGTGCCTGCCAGCCACCTGTCTTTGTCAACCCATCACTGCATAACCTTGTTCGGTATGTGTTCATTTAAAGACACCTTATGGGTATATATTGTTCGTTCGTTAACATTGAACTTACGGCCGACAGCCCTAAAACACTCACTCCTGAAGGCCGCTTCCCCGCAGGGCACAGCCCAGCCTGCCTGCACTTAGCACACTAGACAGCTCTTTCCCACTCTGCCTGGGGCCATTTCAGCAGTGAAATCACCAGCCAAAAGTACAAAAATGCTAAAAAAACACCGCATTAAATAGACTGAAAATGATACTTCTTTACAGTCTGAGCTGAAACGCATTCAGCAACTCAAATGTCTTGCCCCTATGCCCCTGTCCACAAGTGTTGATTTTGCGGGGAACCAATAAATTTTAAAAGCAAGTTGGTGAATCCACCCATAAGGGATCTGCAAATAATAAAGATTGTATACCTGAAAACGTCCATGTGGGCAAGGCAGCTGACATGCTTTCCAGTCACACTTTTCATTTTGGAGTCCCCACGTGAATGGTTTTACTTCTGGATGAGGCTGATTTCACCTAAAAAGTCCAGGCAGAACACTGAAAACATTGATATGTTTGTACTTAAACCTTTATAAAAGACATAGGTTCGATTTGCTCAATATAAATGAACCCAAAATACTAATTAAAGTGGAAACGAGTATTAAGGAAAGTGTGGAATCGGTGTTGATCGTCTTGTGGCTTCCTGCAGCTGGGGCAGGGTGAGTTCGCAGTGTGGAAAATGAATAAACTTTGATTCGCTTCTTGCTGAGCTGTTATGGAGGTCGGGGTACAGTCCTACCTTAAACTCGGGTCCCTGGCCTGTTCTCAGCTCCTTCTCTCTGGTTCTCCTGTGGTTTCCCTGACCTGGCTCTGATTTCAGAGACGTTTTCCTTATGGCCAAGGCTTCACCCTGGAACCTGACTTTTTAAAGAGACACACACACACACCCCTGGTTGAAGTCAAATCCTTTGCTGCTTTGGACGCAGAGAAGGTGATGTGGCACGGGCCAGAGCTCTTCTCCCAGCGCCCCCAGTGTTTTAAGGGCTGCAATTTAGGCTACTTCCAAAGTGACACTTAAAAGATTCACTGTTGTACCAGCTACCTCATTTTAAATGAATTAACCCCATAAACATGGGCGTTGCTGTGATTAAAGAACCTGATCTTATAATCCCCTGAAAATCCACTGATCCATTTGAATCCACTGAAGGTGAGTGGATTCAAGGTCAGTGCCCCTTTTGCTGCTTTTATGGCTACCTGGCGGATGATTTGTCCCTGGGACTGGATTCCTTTCCTCCCAAACAAAAACTGACCACGGGGCCTTTTCTGGCTGGCTGGCTGCTTTCGTCTTTGCTTTCTGCTCCAGAAGGAGAGAAATAAAGGGAGGTCTTCCATAGCATCTTAGAAAATAGTCAGGCATCCGGCAAGTCATTTGGACAAGTGCCCAGCATCTCCTATGCCCACTCCACCCCTCACAGCATTTAGTAAGCACCTGCAGACCCTGCATTCTGGAAAAATGAGGCCTCCTACTTTGGTCAGTTCAATGTGATCTGGCCCCTCTCCTTGCTCTGCTCCAGACTCAGCCCCATCCTATGGGATCAGCTGAAGCCCAGGCTTGCCTGGAGTGAGGGACCACGAGTGGGCATCACTGTTATTCTAGCACATTCTGCACACGTTGATGGACCTTCAGGCCGATGCTGTACAGCAGGCAGCAGACCCTGGAGTTGCAGGTTCTGATCCGGGTGCCGCCCCTCATGGGTGGAGATGGGAGATGTGAGAAGGAGAATGGCGGGGGCAGTTCAACCCTTTGCCTGAGCCTCTCCGCCCTCTGAGTGAAGGAATCACAGAGAGTGAACTCCAGGGCTGTCTCTCCCTGAGTCCTGAGCAGGTGAGAGGAGAGACAGTGCACTTCTCCCCTATCGATGGCTGGTCAGAACAGGCCTGAGGGATTCCTGGACGTCTGTTCTTTCGGGGTAACAGGAAAGTGATTATGAGTACCTTGTGAGTCCCCAGCGGGCTTGCTCCCTGGGGAAATTCCCGTTCTCTGGAGCACGTACTATCAGCTTTCTTCCTCTACTCAGTCTAGGAATCGCCAGGAAAACCGTAGCGACAGCAAAGAAGAACCCTTGGCAACACGAACACCTCTGATTCTGGTCCCTTGTTGGTATTGGAGCAGTTACTCAGTCCAGCCACGAGGGGGCGCCAGCCTCCAAGTGTCCAGAGCATCCCCTCTCGTACATGAATTCGCATATTGTCCCAAAGCAATGAGGATCACGGAGTCCTGAGTGTCAGAAGGGCCCTGGGATGGGGGTGCGGGTACGGTGGGGGCTGGGTGGGAGGGGACAGTGTAGCTAGTTCACCCCCCTCCCCCCAACAACAAGCGGTTGTCCCACTGGGCCTGGGAGTGGACAGCTCGTGAGATAGCCACTCCCTTCCTGGCGGGCTGTCTGCGTGCGCCCCCAGCCCTGCCCAGTCCAAGGACACTCAGGACCGTGCTGTGCTCCTTCTGGCCAATTCACGGTTAACGGTCCACCTTCTCTGCCCCCCAGACCTGCATTGGCCTGTAAAACCCCGCTGGCTGGGCAGTGACTTCTCTGGACGTGGGCTTTTTACCTGTCAGCCTCATGCCAGGTGGCCAGCGGTTAAGCAGACTGGACACTTGATCAGCACACGTTATACACAACGAATGCCGATTGCTTCACATTCTGTCCCATTTCTTTAACTGGATTCCCCATTTCCCTTCAGCCTCTCATCAATAACCGACCACACTCCTCTGTTCAACTGTTCGCTGTGACCTGATCCAGCACCGAGGGAAGCGGTAGTGCCCACCGACTGCTCCAAGCGTTCCCGCCTGCTGTCACTGTCAGACTTCTCCCCCCCAGAAAAAGAAGGTGTCAGAGAAATGTCTGGTCGAAACGAGTTTATTACAAATCAAAGAAATAGGCTTCTGTGTGCATTCACACACGTGGCACTAATGCCCCTAAAACGTCGGGTGTGAAAGGCCACTACAGAAACCGGAATGACCCTCTTAGGATGCTGTGTGGGCATCGGTAACTGATGAAGTGATGCAGAGAGCACAGGGCAGCCGTGGACCATCTGTGTAAATCACTTTATGCCCGAAGCCAGCGTGCCCATCACAGCTTCTTACTAGGTCGTCATCCACTAACAGCAGGGATGACGGCTACAGTCTGACTGCTAACCACTGGCGCAACTGTGAAATGATCAGCTAATGACGCGAGGCTGGCAGGGAAAGATGTCGGTCGCCGGCTCCCTGGAGACCCCGGGGCGGGGCGGAGGGCGGGTTCAGCCGGGGAACTTGGCGAGCCGAGCCCGGGTCAGCCGCTGCAGCGGCTCCCTCGGGAGCTTCCTCCTGTCGCTGGTGTCGCTGCACTCCTTCAGCAGCCTGTCGTACTCGTCCTTGTTCTGCAGCAGCTGCAGCATGCCGTTCCGCAGCTGGACGAACGTCTTGAGCATGAAGAACTGGATGATCAAGGGGGTGTGGCTGGAGATGCGGGTGCTGACCTCCTGACAAGAAGGGAGGGGCAGTTCACAGGAGGGTGAGGGGCTGCGGCCGCCAGGAGACCCTGACGTCACCGAGGAGCCCCCGGCACAGACGAGACCTGGCGGGTGCGAAAGCTCCCCACCTGGGATTCAAAAGCACCCTCGTCCTCTGTGCTCCAGGCGGCACCGCGTCGGGGGCCAACCCCAAGCCTGGGCTCCCACCAGCCTCTCCTGATCACTAAATGCTTACTTCTGATGCAAGAGGGTAAAATGTGCTCTAAAAAGGTTAATGGGCAGACTGAGTACAAAAACTCTGCCCCGAAGATTTTATAACCTTTTTTTTTTTTTAAATCAAAGCTAAAATTATTTAGCAGAAAAGGAGCTGGACTATCAAAAAGCACAGAAGGGAGCTCTCTGAGCTCTGGGCACATTGAAAGTTCGTTTTGACCTTCCTTTCTCCCTCTCTGTAACTCAGCAGGACCCAGTGGGGTCCTGGGACAATATCCCCTCCTCACCCCACCCATGTCCTCTGCTTTCCCTTTGTCTCTAAAAAAAGAAAATGTATCCAAAGGATAAATTTAATCAGAGAAATGAAAAAAGGCAGCAACAAAGGAAAATAGTCAAGCCAAACAAAATAATAATAGTTTAGACATTAAACAAAGTCAAGGACCTTTAGTCCCTCCTCAAGGGCTACAGACAGTATTTTGCGCCATGTCCTCTGAGCTGCTTTACAGAGACTAAAACCCCCGCCACGTAAAAGAAGTTAATCATATGCTGCCCACAATCACATAGCCCCCAGATCAGTTGGAACCAGAGGGTTGAGGATGTTGACTCTTGGTGACCTCACCACCAACCAATCAGAGGAATGTCCACGAGCTCATCACGCACCTCTTTAGCATGTTGACCCTTCCTCTTTTCCCTACAGAATCTCCAAACAAAACCTGGAAAATGGGGAATTGGTTCTTTGGGCCATGAGTCCACCTTCTCCCCAGGATTGCCAGCTTCCTGAGTAAAGCTGTCTCTCATTTTACCCAATACTTGTCTCTCAGTACTGGACTCTTGAGCAATGAGAAGCAGAACCTGAGTTGGGTAATGTCACCGCACGCCACCTGCTAGTGCAAAGTTTCTCTTTCCTGAGATAAGTTGATCTCTCAACAAGCTGATATATACTGGTACTGCAGCAAGTTCTGCAACCTCTCTGTGCTTCACTTCCCTTCTCTATAGTATGAGCACCTGGCCTCATGTGAGGGCTGAAAAGATTACATGAGCTAAAAACAAAAGTTTAGAAAGGTGCCAGGAGTGGAGCAAGCACTCAGGGTATGTGCGTGGAGGGAATCAGTGAGCTGGAGCTGGAACACATGCTCCGTGCCCCAGGACGAGAGCAGGCGAGGGATGGGACCGCCAGTGTCACCAATGCAGGGCGGGAGAGAAGGGACAGGCAGATGAAGGCATTCCAGGGGGATGCTGGGGCCAAGAAACTGACGTCTGATGTTGGAGAATGGACACCAGCTGAAAGGAAGGGCTGGTCTGTCTGACCGGCAAAACCACACACCCAAACAGCTTTTGAGAGTCTGGTATGAACACAGCTGCAAAAGTCATTTTCCCGTTGTCCTGGAGATCATCCAAATCATCCCTAGTTTTGGTGAAGTACGAGATGGGTAATGTTCAGCCTGTGACCCCCGTGTAACAGAAGCAGGGGCGGCCAGGCAGAGCCACATAGGGGGAGGGGAGCAGCACGGGTCAGACAGGGAAGGAGAGGGAAAGCCTTTCCTGCCGGGGAGCTCCCTGGTGAGCACAGTAGCCCAGTGAGCAGGGCTGGTGCAGAGTTCTTCCTGACCAAGTGGGTGTGGGGGAGCTGAGGTGGTGGGCCACACAGAGAATCACACAGAAGGGCCACGTTGGCATGAGACCATCTCTTGGGAGCTGAGAGGAAATTTCTGAGTAGTGAAAATCAGCTCCCCTGGACCTCTCCGTTGTGTTTTCTTTTCATCACCGCAACTGTAAGATCCATTACGAGACACGTCAGGCTTCAAGGCCTTGGTGGGTTAACCAAGATCAAACTGGGTTATTTCAGGGGCAGCACCGTTGGGAACAAAAAGAGTGTGACACACATGATATGTCGACTTGCTCACTGTTGAGGGAGGGCTGATTCTTCTAAGAGTCGTGACTGATATGGGCCAATGAATCTGTATTTTCTCTCTAGGTGTCCTCTGAAATCAGTACTAGACACTTGCTGGCCAGAGTTCAGGGATCTGAAACAGCACATGTGGCTTTCACGCCACTAACTCCTTACTCTGGGCGTCCTTCACCAACTGCATCACCCAGCCCCCTGGCCCTGGACTCAGTTTGACTTGCAGGGTTTCCCATGGTGCCTTGGACTCACCTTTCTGGAAACTGTTTGCAACCACAATACTCCATCTGTAGAACTCGGTTTGCATTTTGTTAAACAGCCGGGAGTCATACTTTCCCACAAATTCTTCCCCTTCTATTATATTAGAGATCTCTTTATTAAATGCATCAATTTTCTGCCAAGAAGAAAAACGTTAAGTATCAGCGGAGATATTGCAAATACAAGCAAAGTAGTTTGGCGGTCGCATGCATGCAGAGGGTGGGCGAGCCCTTCTCTGCTGCCTTACAGGCCCGGGTGGGAGGACAGGAGAGAAGAGGCTTTGGCAGCAGACAACCCCAAACTCCCCTCACTGCCCGGGGGTCTTGGGTGAGCGCGCTTGAGGAAGAGCCGATGCTGTGAATGGGATGGCCTGCCACTCCCTGCCCACCATCCTCCAACCCCAGCCCCTTTCTGGTGCTAAGTGGCCAGAAGGAGTCCAGATCAGCTTTAGGGGAGTGAAGAGAGACGTGCACAAGGCCCACGCACGATCCCTTTGTAGACAGTGATGTGCGACTCTCCGGCTTGGTGCCCCTGGCAACACTCACATCTATCAGAGAGAACATCTTCCCACTTGCGTCTTCCGGGATATCTGAGCCACACTTCTGTAGCTCCTCTGTTATTCTCTGGTGACTCTCCTTTATCTGATTTTCTAACAGGGGCAGAGATTTCTGAGGAAAATAGAAAACCATGGAAAGCCATAAATATGAAGAGGGAATGAGTCAAGTTTGGCGATGACGGGAAAGGAAGAGTTAGTCCAGTGCTCATAAGATGCTAATTTGTAATCAGGCCAAGTGGATAGTTAATGAGCATCCCACTCAACGTGTGGTCCTCTGACAGGCAACATCCACACCACCTGGGAGAATCCCGGGCCACATCCAGACCCCCTGAATCTGAGCCGGCATCTTCACGAGATGCACAGGAGATCCACGTGTGCTGACGTTTGTTAGCCGACATGGTTAAGCTTTGTGTCTGCAGGATTCTATTCAGAGATTGGACAGCTTTGCAAGTACTTACACAGACGTGCATGATGAGTTCAGTGGTCAGTCTTTCGGCCAGGCACGGGACCGTGGCCCTTCCTTCCTCCAGAAGATCCCTGTGAGAGAAGACAACGTACATGTCCATCTGGGTCTAGCCAGAAAATGCAAGTCGGCTCTCTGCTGCTAGGGAAAGCCAAGGCAAATCCAGTTACTTCCCGCTGGATGGGATGTCCTGCATCTGGTCCCCAAGAAATGTTCAGAATTGGATCGCATAGAATTGACTGAATTTCAGTAACGTTAGGTATTTCAAAAATGGTACAGAATGATCCCTGCCAGCTGATACATTGTGTCTCATGACATCTGACTATAGAAATGGTCTTTATAAAAATATACAGTCACCTCTAGATATGTTTTCATAACACGCACATACCCTTCTATATACGTAATGCACATCAGTATCGGGCCTCGTGAAAATATACTGACACAGGTTTACGGATGAACCCTGAACTGGGGGACCCACCCTTCCCCAAGAGGAGAACTTAAACCATGGGCTGGTTGGAGGAAGGAAGCCAAGCCCTTCTCTCACTCTTTCCAAATATGTGTTTGCAGGGTGAGTTATTACATGATATTCTATATTTTAAGGGACTTTTTAGGATGAAGGGCGGCCAGGAAGCATGAGTCCACACACCTCTTTGCAAGAGTACACTCGTACCTAAGTTTCAGTTTCCACACCTGTCAATTTTTAAAATTGTAAAATATACATAACATAAAATTCACCATTTCGGTCGTTTGTAAGCCCACATTCAGTGGTATTAAGTACAATTACGTTGCTGTGCGTCCATCACCACCATCCACCTCCAGAACTACCCCTTCTTCCCCAAATGAGACTCGGTCCGCATTAAACGTCTCCCCCTCCCCCTCCCCCCAGGCCCTGTCTCTATGACTGTGACTCTTCTAGGGGCCTCGTACAAGTGGAATCATACAGTGTTTGTCTTTTTCTGACTGGCTTATTTCACCGAGCATAACGTCCTCAAGGTTCATCCGTGTTACAACATGTGCTAGAGTTTCCTTCCTTTCTGAGGCCGAATGCTGTTCCACTGTATGCACGGAACACATTCTGTTTATCCCATTCATCTATCAATGGACACTCAGGTTGCTTCCATGCTTTAGCTATTGTGAACAATGCTGCTATGAACACAGGTGTACAAGTGTCTCCTCTGAGTTATACGTCTCTGCAGGCTTCCGGGAGCATCAAATGTGATAACGTTTACGAAGGACATGGCTCTCCACCTGCATACACATGTGTGCACACAAGGGATCTCAGTGACTGTGTCACTTTTTTCTCCACATCTTATAAGCTCCTTTTCATTGGCATCTCATTGCACAGCAGACTAATGGTTGCCAACGCTGTGATCTCTTATTCTGGTTCATTTATATAAATCCCAGGATTTTCAACATTTAGATTCCAAATTTTCCACAATTAAAAACAAATCTGGGGGCTTCCCTGGTGGCGCAGTGGTTGGGAGTCTGCCTGCCGATTCAGGGGACGTGGGTTCGTGTCGCGGTCCGGGAGGATCCCACGTGCCGCGGAGCAGCTGGGCCCGTGAGCCATGGCCGCTGAGCCTGCGCGTCCGGAGCCTGTGCTCCGCAACGGGAGAGGCCACGGCAGTGAGAGGCCCGTGTACTGCAAAAAACAAAAAACAAATCTGTAAAAAAAAAATATTGTATAATATTGCTTATATGTGGAATCTAGAAAAATGGTACAGATGAACTTATTTGCAAAGCAGAAATAGAGACACAGATGTAGAGAACAAACTTATGGATACCAAGGGGGAAGGGGGGGTTGGGATGAACTGGGAGATTGGGATTGACATATACACATTACTATGTATAAAATAGATAATGAATGAAGACCTACTGTATAGCACAGGGAACTCTACTCAATACTCTGTAATGACCTATATGGGAAAAGAATCTAAAAAAGAGTGGATATATGTATACCTGATCCACTTTGTTGTACACCTGAAACTAACACAACATTGTAAAGCAACTGTACTCTAATAAAAATTTAAACAAAAAACAAACCTGTGCTGAATATCCTTTAGCCAACATTAGTGGATACATCTCTGATTACTTTCCTGGGTGGAATTCCTAGAACTGGAACTCAACCTCGGACACGCACCTATGCAGACCGGTCCGCATGTGACCTCAGCACACATTCCCAGCAGCAGAGGTGAAGGTCCACGCCCCTCCTTTCCCACCAACTCTACATCTTCTCATTGTTTCAAATCTAACCAATTTATCAGTCTTTTCCTTTTTTAAAAATGTCATTTTTGGCATTAGGGTTAGAAAGACTTTTATGCTGGGATTATAAATTCTCCGTCTATATTTTCTTCTGGGACACTTATGGTGCCTTTCTTGTACTTAATTTTAAACTTCAACTGATATTATATTTGGGTATCCCATGTTAAGTAAGGTCACAATTTAATTTTTTCCCAAATATTAAACAATTATCTCAATGCCACTGATGGATGATCCAACAGACATAGCCCAGGGATTTGAACTACCACATTCATCATAGACCAAATATATGTATCTGAGTCTTATTTCTGGGTTTTCTACTTTGTTTCTATCCTGTTTCACTTACGTTTATATTCCGGTTCCAGAACCATACTATTTCAGTTATTGAAAAAACCTCTGCCTTCTTTTGACGTTTTAAATTTATTCTTTGCGGTACTTTGTGAATTCCTCCTTTTTTCTTCCAGACAAATTCCATGGTCATTGTCAAGGAACAAACACACATGGACACTCTCAAAATCTGATCTCAGACAGCATCCATTTTCCCCCGTGAGGACGGAGGTCCTTAATTTTGGTTCACACTCGGAAAACACCACCGCCTACCTGAAATGGGCGTGGTTCCCAAAGAAGTCCTGCTCCTTCTGCAGGGCCTTGGTCAGGCTCAGCTGGTGCTGGATGTCCTGCTGCCCCCGGCACTTGACGATCATGTAGCCCTTCTTCAGGTGGAAGACGAGGTTTCTCACCACGTCCACTACCTTGTCTTCGGTGCTTTTGTCCACCAGATCGGGCTTCGTCAAGATTCCTGCGACCCAGAGACTTTGGTTAGAGAATGCTCACAGCTTCACAGAGCGAAAAGTAAGGACAGCTCCTGCCCCTGGGAAGGCAGGTCCCCTGGCCCCTGGTTTCCTCCCACCCTGTTTGAGGGCACACAATAGGGCTTGCAGAGCGAAGGTGTGAGGCTCAGCCCCTGTGTTCTCCCCAAGCTCACATCACCCAGATCTCGGCTCTCACACCAAAGAGACAGTAGAATGTAACGGCCCTTTTGTGTTCTTTCTGTCCAGTGGAGGAGTTCACTCTCAAACTTTCCTGTGCATCTGAACCACCTTAAGGGAGGTCTTAAAATGCAGAATCTCAGGGCTTCCCTGGTGGCGCAGTGGTTGAGAGTCCGCCTGCCGATGCAGGAGACACGGGTTCGTGCCCCAGTCTGGGAGGATCCTGCGTGCCGTGGAGCGGCTGTGCCTGTGAGCCATGGCCACTGAGCCTGCACGTCCGGAGCCTGTTGCTCCGCAATGGGAGAGGCCACAGCAGTGAGAGGCCCGCGTACCGCAAAAAAAAAAAAAAAAAAAATTGCAGAATCTCAGGCCCCATCCCAGAGATTCTGATTCAGGAGGTTTGGTGGGATTGAGGGACTTGCATTTCTAAAACTTCTGCAATTATTTCTGGTGCAGGTGGGGCCTGGCTCACACTTGGAGGAACACTGGTCCAGCCAGGACCAGTTACATCACTTGCAGGGCCCATTACAAAATGGAAACGCAGAGCCCCTTGTTCAAACGTTGAGTATTGCAAGATGGCAGCATCAGAGCATCACACCAGGTGTGGACCCTTCCGGGTGCGGGGCCCTGTGGGACTGTCCAGCGAAGCCAGCCCAGGACTAACCCTGAGGTTTACCGTGTCCACTGGTAGCTGCTGCCCTGGCCCAGAGATTCCCATCCCAGGCACGACAGGCAGCAGGACAAGCAAAGAATGAGCGCCTGCAGCTAAGGATGGTGGAGCAGAAGGTGGAAGGGACTGGGTCCTGACAGCGTCACTGAACAGCGGTCCCGAGGGAAGCAGCCTGTGCCCAGAGTTCTTGTTAGGCGTGAAAATAAATCGCCATTTGTTTCAGCCACTGTACTCGAGTTCTCTGCTATTTACAACCAAACACATTTTTTAAAACATAAAATTTACCATTTTAGCCATTTTTAGGTGCACACTGCACTCCCACGTTGTTGGGCAACCTTGATCACTAACCAGCTCCAAAACCTTTTACTCCTCCCAAGCTGAGACTCTGTCACCACTGAACACCCACTCTTCTTTCCCCCTTTCGACTTCCTGTCTCTATGAACTTGACCACTATAGATCCCTCATATAAGTGGGATCACACAGTATTTGTCCTTCTGCCCTGGCTTATGTCATTAACCATAATGTCTTCAAGATCCACCCACATTGTAGCAGGTGTCCGAATATCCTTCCTTTTTTTTTTTGCGGTACGCGGGCCTCTCACTGCTGTGGCCTCTCCTGTTGCGGAGCACAGGCTCCGGACACACAGGCTCAGCGGCCATGGCTCACGGGCACAGCTGCTCCGCGGCATGTGGGATCTTCCTGGATCAGGGCACGAACCCGTGTCCCCTGCATCAGCAGGCGGACTCTCAACCACTGCGCCACCAGGGAGGCCCTATCCTTCCTTTTTAAGGTTGAATACTATTCCATTGTATTGATACAACACATTTTGCATATCCATTCATCTGTCTGGGACACATGGGTTGTTCTACCTCAAATGCACTGTCAACTGACATAACTGCTTTCTGATTTTGCCTCACCTCCTGAACCCACCATGCCTCTTATAAGCAGGTAGACAAGGATTACAAGCCAACACATGGCCAACAAGAGTCAAATGTGGCCCATTTCATGTGGCCTCAATGTGTTCTCAAAAGGTTCTCATCTTGCGTGTGTGCCAGGAAGCACCCACTGGATTCAAGAGATGCTTTTCCACTATCAAGCCACCTACTATTTTTAGATTCTTCCGTCTTCTTACCTATGGTCCTGTCCTTGGAGGTCCACCTCCTGAGCCTGCGCAGTGCCTCCACGGTAGCGATGTCCACATTAGCGGGGACTAGCACCAAGTTGATGGTCTCCTGCTTAAGGATGTACTTCCTGATGAGAGACTTGATCTGTAAGAAAATGAGAGGGTATGAGAGATGAGACAGGTCCTGACCTTGTACTTGCTTCAGACCCTCCAGGTCCCAGAGGTATTTCTCCAAAGAAGCAACTATGGAGAAACGAGCCCATAACACAAGCCTGGTGGTACTTCCCAAGGCAGAGGAACTAAGTTCTCTGTGGTTCAAACAGGGAGAACTGTGAGGTCTTAACTCTTTAACTATCTCCTAAGACCTCAAATCTGACAGTCACAATGAAAAACAAGATGCCAAAAGAATTGCTTGACTATTCCCTAAATCTTTAATCCACAGAGTGAGATTCACTGATCTAGGAATATCATTAGACTTGCTTCTAATGCTCTCTTATGCTCCCCACATAAAACCCCTTCCTAATACGTGCTGGTTTAGAGATGGCACAAAATGTAACTATGACCCAAACGAGTCGCCGCATAAAACACAAATAAAATGCATTTCCAACTTTGCCTGTTTGCCTTTTTCCACAGAAGCTTCCACCCAACTTGGTGGAGTAGATTTCGACCATCACACTCTCCAAATTCCCTACCTCCTAACACCCACTCTTCAAGCTCAGTCCTGGACTCACTGATGCTCTAATGCAGCCCTACCCCCACAAGGCCCGGGCCAGGATGGAACCTGACGTTTCACCTGATATTCAATGTCGGCTGGCTGATTGCCCACAGCGATCCTGGTGATGCTGGGAAGGTCTATCAGGGTCAGATCCGGGACATGAGGGGAGGTGACTTCCAGACTAATCAGCTCATGACTGATTCCCGTGCCTTCCCCAGCAATGGCAACCTGGGCTAGAGAAGAGGAAGGAAAAAAACAGAATAGAGCTTAGGATGGAATATCACATTACAGCGAATCCTCTGAAAGCAACTCCCACCCACTGTGATTCACGGATGAGGCATGCAGTGAGTCCCCTACATAGGAATGAGGTCCATTCTGAAAGTGCATTCATAAGTCCAAGTGTTAAGTTTCCCTTTTCAGATGTCTCACATCGATGATGTAATCTCTGTGGTCTGCATTTACTGAGCCCTGCCATAAATTAGCCTAAACCAGGGTTATGCAAGGACATGCACCCCACTCTTGGAGAAAAAGGACCCCCATTTCTGAATAGGGTTCAGTGATGCCCCAGTCAGCATTTTGGAATGCCTTTTTACCAGGTTAATAGGTGAAGGGGTTCCCTGGTCCCATACCCGTATACCTCTTCCATCAGATCTGTGGGATGGGGAAGCCCTTGAATAAGGGGCCAATACTCCGTATTTGGAGACAAGCTTCAAAATTCACACTACGCTCAGGTACGTACTTACATACTAAACAATAAACTACTGAGGTCAGATTCTGTCCAAAACACTGGTCTTAATGAGAGTAAAAGAAGAGAAAATACGAGAAAGCTGGGGGCCGGATGTAGGGAAGGGAGGGTTCCCCAGGGACCAGGACGGGCCCAGAAAGGGGAGAGTGGGAATGGTGACAGGCAGACCCCACCCACTTCACCTGGTTGACCAGACAGCCAAATAGGCAATGACAAACAAACACGGGACACTTACCTTCACTGATTTCCTTTTCCACCTGCGAAGCATCGGAAATCTCAGTCTCTTTGTCCCGGAAACTTGACTTTGCCTTTCCACTCGTCTTCATTCACAAGTTTTTTCAGTTTCAGCACCAGAGGACATCTTGTAACAATACCTAGGAGGTCATTATCCATCAGTTCTATACGCTGCTCTTAACAGTCCTATATGGTGGTCTTAGACCAGTGGTTCTCAAATTTCTATACAATCATCTGGGGAGACTGTTAAAACTGTAGACTTTCTGGTCTCACCCTCTGACACTCTGACACATTCTATCTGGGGTGACTCACGAATGTGCATCTTGACTGTATGCCTCAGGAGGTGTTTGGCTTGAAAGCCACTTCTTTAGACCCCCTGCTTCACTCCAGTGTTTTCCATCAGCCCAGGTGGCAAACTACAGTGGGGAGCCCCAAACTTCTGCAAATGTCCTCCATCATCCCCCAGTGCACACACCCCACTCCTATCAGGAAGGGGGACTGCCCCCGCCAGGCCACCTCACCACAGTCCCCTTACTGTAAACTTCTTCCAAATCCCACCCGCCTTCACATCTGACCCGTATTTCAAGACCCAGCTCAGGTGTGCCTTCTTCCCTGGAGCCCTCACTGATCCTTGGCCTGGTGGTTCAAAAAGCACCACTTAGCAGAGCACCAATCTTCACCTCCCAGATGGGGGGGTCACCTCTTGGGAAGGGGCTCAGGTAGGACACCCACGTGCACAGTGTTCAGGGCTGAGGACCCACATGCATTTACTCAGACCTTCCGCAAGTGTAGGTTATGGACCATCCACACTAAACCTGTGATGAGAGGATGTTATGAATTGGGTCTCCTCCCCCCGCCACCCTGTCAGACTCATATGTTGAAGCCCCTAATGCCCAACGTGACTATACTTGGAGATAGGCTATATCTTTAAAGAGGTAATGAACATTAAATGAGGTCATAAGAGTGGGGCCCTAAACAACATGTCTGGCATCCTTCTAAAAAGAGGAAGAGATCCTAGACATGGGTGCACATAGAGGAAAGGCCACGTGAGGACACAAGGAGAAGAGGGTCATGTGTAAGCTGAGGACACAGGCCTCAGGAGAAACCAATCCTGCTGACACCTTGATCTCGGGCTTCCAGACTCCAGAACTGCGAGAAGTAAATTTCTATTGTTTAAGCTCCTAGTCTGAGGTCCTCTGTTACTGCAGCCTGAGCTGATTAACATACAGGGCAAGTGCTTATGCAGCTGTCCAGGGCCTGTGGGAGCTGCCCTCCTGGGGGCCTTCCCAGAGACCTCCCCTTAAACCACTGGTCCCCGGGATGCCTTGGGGCTTGCAGGAGGCTGGCCCAGCAGAGCTTATCGCTGCCTCTGGGAAGGGCGAACCCCGACAGAGCCTCCTCTTGCCCGAGCTCTGGTCCCCAGTGACAGCGATGGCGGGCAGGGCCAGGCCCTGCTCCATACCCAGGGCCCGCAGGGAGTCAGTGAGGTCACTGCAGGGCCACACCTTCTCCTCATACTGGTTGTACAGGTTGTTCTCAGACCCCTGGAAGAGGTAGAGTGGGAGACCTCTATCATAGCCTGCAGGTCACATGCCATCAAAGATGGACAACTTCAATCGACCTAATATATACAGGTGATTGGAGTTCTCAAAAGAGAGTGGGGGCAAAACAGAAATAAATACTTGAAGAAATAATAGCTAAATTTTTCCCAAGCTTGGTGAAAACTATTAGCCCAAAGATCCAAAAAGCTCAATGAATCCTGAGCAAAGGAAACATAAAGTAAACTACATCAAGGCACATTATAGTCAAATTGCTCAAAACCACTGATAATGACAAACTGTTTAAAGCAGCCGGAAAATAACATGTTATAAGTACAGAAGAACAAAGATGAGATTTACAGCACATTTCTCACTAGAAGCTATACAAGTGAGTAGACAGTGGAGCAACCTTTTTAAAGTGCTGAGAAAAACCATCAACCCAGAATTCTCTACCCAGCAAACATATCTTTTAAAATAACGAAAGTGAATAAGGACTTTTTTGGATGCACAAAAGTGAATGAATTCATCACCAGCAGACCTGCACTACAGGAAATGTTTAGGATGTCCTTCAAGCCAAAGGAAGATTATATTGAATGGACTTCTTAATCTACACCCAGGAATTTACACCAGAAATGGTGACCACTATGCTTTTTTATTACTTAATTATCTTTAAAAGACATTTGACTATTTGAACAGAAATGACAATGTATTGTGGGGTTTAAAATATTGGTAAAATTAAAAATCATGATAAAATAGCATGAAGGCTGGGAGGGGAGAAATGGACACATACTATCGTAAGGTTCTTATACATGAAGTAGTATATTAGCACTTGAAGGTAAACTTGATAAGTTAAGGACACATAATATATTCCCTAAAACAGTTTCATTTAATAAGCCAACAGAGGAGATAAAACAGAATCATAAAAAAACTTGATTAATTCAAAAGAAGGCAGGAAAAGAGGAAAGAGGAGATGAAAAGCAAGGCAAGTAGAAAACAAATAGCAAAATGATCTTTCCAAGCCCAATTACATTAACAATCACAGAAAATCTAAATAGTCTAAATACTCCTAAAACAGTCAAATGACTTTGAAAAAGAACAGAGTTGGAGGGCTAACATTCCCTGATTTCCATAATTACTATAAAGCTGTAGTAACCAAAACAATGGGATGCTGATGCAGAAATGGAGAAAGAGAATGGAACAGAATGCATAGTCTAGAAATAAACCAATACATTTGTGAACAACTGTTTTTTGACCAAAGTACAAGGGGAATGCAGTGGAAAAAAGGTAGCCTTTTCCTTCAACAAATGGTACTGGGATAACTAAACATCTGTATGCAAAAAAATGACCTTGAATCTATGTTTAACACCATGTACAAAAATTAACTCACAGTGGAACACAGACCCAAATGCAAACTCTAAAACTATAGAACTTCTAGAAGAAAACACAGGAGAAAATCTTTGTGACTATGGATTAGGCAAGGATTTCTTAGATATGGCCCCAAGAGTACAAAATCCATAAAAGAACCAACTCATAGATTGGACGTCATCAAAATTTAAAACATCTAATCTTTAAAAGAGACTGTTAAGAGAATGGAAAGACAAGGCACAATGTTTGCAAAGCTTATATCTGACAAAGGACTTGTACCCAGAATATATATATAAAGAACGCCCAAACCTCAACAACAAGAAAACCAACAACCCCAGTGGCGAAGAAAATAAGAAAAAATCATTTTACCTTTTACCTTTTTCTAATTCCTATTTTTGTGCATGCTTTATAATATAATTAAATTTTACGGGAATAGTTGTTTTATAGCATCGTGAGAAGGTGTTCATAGTTTGGACCCGATGAGCCTTTGTGGTCGGGCTGTCCTGTGCCTTGTAGGAGGTGTAGCAGCATCCCTGGTCTCTATTCACTAGTCACTTTGAGTTGTGACAACCAAAATGTCTTCAGAGATTGCCAGGTGTTCCAAAGGGTAAAACTGCCCCCAGATGAGAACCACTGCCTTACAGAATGCCTGAGCGCAACATTTCATACATGGGAAATGTTGACAAAATTCAGCAGAGAAGGGGGTACACACACTGACAGGGATGCCCTTGGCCAAACTTTAACGGGGCTCCTTTGAGCCCCCTTCTCCTCTAGGCCTCTCCTTCACCTACTGAGTCCAGACTTATCAAAGCATCGTGCTAAGCCAGTTCATCCAGAATCTCCTCAGCTTTGACAGCCAGTCAGTTCCTTCCTCACCTCCCTTGATCCTAACCTAGTTCCTCTAGGTAATTCTTCCTCCTGTCCTCCACCCTGCCTGCTGGCTATAAATCCCCACTTGTCCTTGTATCCACATTGAGCGCAATCTCTCTCCCCTATTGCAATAGTCTTGAATAAAATCTTCCTTGCCCTTTTTAAACAAGTGTCCTGAGCAATTTTTCTCTATAACAACACTTCAGAAAGGTTCGGAGCACAATTCCCCACAGAAAGACTCGTGGTGGCTGTGCACACACCTGGCTGTACCTTTACACTCATCAGTGACCTCAGTCTTAGCCCTCCTTATGGGTTCTTTCTGTTTTCGTTTCTTTATACCACCCATTCATGAGAGTTTATAAAACATGAATACTAATTAGTCAAAATGCATGTACCAACCACCTGGGTTAAGAAAACACATAGTCCCTGTACTTAAGACACTCAATCTACCCCTCCCCAGGCACCTTCCTCCTAAAACCACTTCAGCCCCAGAAGGTTCTTCCGTTCTCAGGTTGGTGATAACGATGTCCTTGCCTCTTCATTACAGTCTTACCGCCCGTGCATCTTTCCCTAAACAATACGTGGCTTATGGTTGCCTGTTGTGGATGTTTATATAAATGGGATCATATAGTATATTTCTTCTGTGACTTGATTCTAGGGTTCACCACTGTTTATCTGTTTTTAGTTTTGTTTTTTTGGGCCACACCGTTCGGCTTGCAGGATCTCAGTTCCACAACCAGGGTTGAACCCGGGCCACGGCAGTGTAAGTGCCAAGCCCTAACCACTGGACCACCAGGGGACTCCCGCACCATTGTTTTCTAGACTCAGCCATCTTGATACCTGGAACTCTAGCTCATTCCTTTTCACTGCTGCATGGAATCCTATTGCATGAGCACACCACAATCTATGTATGCACTCCACTGCTCATGGGCACTTGTGTTGTTTCTGGTTTTGCTTAGAAAGGATGCTATATGAATGTGGAAAAATGCTTCTCAAACTTCAGCACAAAGAAGCATCACTTGGAGGGTCTGTTAGAACACAGATGGTAGGCTCTGTCCCTGAAATTTCTAGTTCACTAGGTCTGGGGGAAGGATATGTGAGTGTGATCACTTCCACGTCAAACTTCCCCGGGGATGTTGATGCTGCTTCTCTGGGGACCACACTCTAAGAGCCAAGGTCTACACCTAGAAGTGGAATTGCTGGGTCATAAGACACCCCCTGTTCAACCTGGCCGAAAAAGGCAAAGCTACATCCGAACACATGGGTCTGAGCACTGGGAGTCCCTCCTGCCCTCTACCCTGCCAGTTACAGCCAGGAGAGAGACGACAGTTATACTAGGGTGGTGGAAAGATGGGTGGACCTTCTTATTTTTCTATGTCCTCCAATGTAGTTTGTAATATTGTTTAAAACATTGTTAAACATTGATTATGAAAATGGGGCCAACTGGGAAGACACGGAAGATCCATTGTGTTGAAACATGTGACAGCAATAAACAGAGCTCTTCCTAAGTGCCCGGCCTCTGCCTCTTCTCAACAGTCACACAAGGTAAATACTATCATTATTCCGACTTTACAGATGGAAAATCGGGCTTCTAAAGGGAAGAATAACCACCCAAGATCACACAGCTGCCAGTGTCAGCACCGGAATCAAATTCAGGTTGAGCTGATTCCAGAAGCCAAGTCTAGTTCCCACCAAAAATATGTCTCGATTCTAGGAGAAAAGACACCACATGGCTTCACCGTGAGGTGGTGTCACAGTGACACCTCAGAGGTTTGAACTCGAGACTGAACCATGATGTGTGCATGTGATAACACAGGGCTCCTCGGGCCCAGTGCCTGGGGCCAATTCCTACACTAGCCCATCAGCATCTTGCCTGGTTTTCCAGACCAAAATTGCACCCCAACCAGCATCAGCTAAGGCAAAACACTGTCTGCATTTGGCTGCAAGAAGGGCCCAAACAGAATGAGTAGAGTCTTTGTATCCACGTCCTGCCCTCAGAGAGATGTGGAAGCGGGAACCTCCGGGCAGCAACGGCATCACTGTATCAGTGGGCAGCCCGCAAGTGGACACAGCTCATGTCCACACGGAGAGTGGTTTTCGGGCATCAACTTACCGTTTCCTCATTTTTCGCCACCAGATCATCATTTCCATTTAGTAACAGATGACTGGATGCAGAAGGTGAATCGGGTTCTTTGATTTTCAAGTCAGAATGAACCATCTTCTTCCTTTATCAGGTCAGCTTAAAACCAAGTAGGTCAGGATTAACACAATTCAGAAGCTGAGTACATTCAATCATGGAACCAAACCCACCATAAGACATACTGGGACACAGTGGGAGCTCAGAAAGAAATGACAGGACAACTCCAAGGAACCAAGTGTCAGATGAGGACAGATGCTCCCAACCAGCTTAGTGGTCTTCAAGGATATGCTTCCGGATCTCCAAAGATTTTTTTAAACTCTGTATTTCCCATCATGATTGTAGGTTGAACATCAAAAATTTTTTTCACCATAAATTTAAATAGTGGCAAAGGATGAAATTTCTGATGTATCTTTAAGTTTACATTTAAAAGTAAAATTATTATAAAATTCTTTCCAGTGTAGATGAGGGATTCTAAATACTATGATAATTGAACACCAAACCTGTGTTTTATAAAATATGAACTCCAGGGCTTCCCGGGTGGCGCAGTGGTTGAGAATCTGCCTGCCAATGCAGCAGACACGGGTTCGAGCCCTGGTCTGGGAAGATCCCACATGCCGTGGAGCAACTGGGCCCATGAGCCACAACTACTGAGCCTGCGCTTCTGGAGCCTGTGCTCCGCAATAGGAGAGGCCGTGACAGTGAGAGGCCCGCGCACCGCGATGAAGAGTGGCCCCTGCTCGCTGCAACCAGAGAAAGCCCTCGTACAGAAACGAAGACCCAACGCAGCAAAAAAAAAAAAAAAAAAAAGATCTCCAAGTCTTTTACTCTGTTCCTTTTGATCCCCGACTTCAGATTTTTGTTCCATTTCCCCCACCTAAATGGATCTTAAAGTCATTCATTTTATTTTTTTATTTTTTGTTTTTTTTTTTGTTTTTTTGCGGTACGCGGGCCTCTCACTGTTGTGGCCTCTCCCGTTGCGGAGCACAGGCTCCGGACGTGCAGGCTCAGCGGCCATGGCTCACGGGCCCAGCCACTCCAAGGCATGTGGGATCTTCCCGGACCGGGGCACGAACCCGCGTCCCCTGCATCGGCAGGCGGACTCCCAACCACTGCGCCACCAGGGAAGCCCTCATTTTATTTTTGAAAGCATTTAATTGGCCACCTTATCATACTTGTCTGCACCCAGAAAATACATATGCATATATTGGAAATTCATTAAAATTTTTTTCTGGGACCATAAGTCTCTAAATATTAAAATGTACACAGCTAATAATCTTAGATAAAAGTAAATGAAAATATTTCTCCTATGACTTGAAATAAATGTTATGAAAAATGTAAAGCACTTACTTACCTCCAACATACCTTCCTTTTACTTGACAATGTAACGTTGACCCGTCGGCAGAAATTCAGAGCCGTTCTCCGACACCTCCTTGAAATCAGGCAAAACATACAAATTAGACCAAAACCCGGGTGAATAAATGATAGCGCTCACCAAGTTTCTTCCCCATTGCTGAGAATGGTGCAAATGAAGGGGGGAGGGATGTGCTTTGAAAGAGATTCACAGTTCCCTAAGTCCTTTTTGTAAACCTTAAATATTTAAACTCTAAGGTAGATGGATAAGGCACAGAGCCTTGCTGTCGATGTACGGCCTGAATCAACACTTTTTATTTTTTTTGTGATGCTCTTGCTTCTTCTCAAGGGACCCTACCCCAAGGCCTATATGATTTTGGGTCCATACTGGTGCAGTTGAAAGGGCAAGTTTGCTAAAACAAAAAGTGTACTGGGGGGAGAGGGATGCATTCTGTTCATTGTATAGTGAGAGAAAAGCAATTTTGAAAGGTGATCAATTTTAAAGAGTCCTTATGGAATCTGGCAATCTGGAAATTTATTCCCTAACCACCACCCACCCCCATGCCTTTGGAAAGACTTCATGTGCCCAGGGGGTCCCGGGCTGGAGCTGGGGCCCCATGTTAGAGACTACAACTTCAGTTGACCTTACTACACCCAGTCAGGTGGCACATTAGTCCCCAGGGCTACCACCCCATGACCGTGGGTTCTTTGTGAACAAATTCCCTTCCTCTGTTTGTTTCATCAAATGACATTCCCTGAGGGCTTCCCTGGTGGCGCAGTGGTTGAGAGTCCGCCTGCCGATACAGGGGACAC